CAGAACCCAGAGCTATTGGGTTTTCAAAAGAAAAGGGAGCTACAGAGAATACAGACATTAGTTGGGGGAAAAGCAGGAAAGTTAAAAAAGTCAATAACTCAGAGGGAGCAGGAGACTATTTAAAAACACATTATTCAGAGGCTATGATACATGAGAAATGAGAAATGCCCAGCACTCAGAAAAGCTCCCATCAGCATGACTCCTGGGCCGAGTCCAGGAGGCATTTCAGTGGAGAAAAGGCAACTTTGAAAAGTACAAAGATGGGTCAAGTGAGGATGCAGGGACATTCATGAACAACCAGGTCAAGTGGGAACAAGGACTTTGATGTTCAAATGGGAGTGAGCAGAAAATTATCAGCAAGACTGTTGATAAAATGTCTTTCTCTTTTTACCCTCCACCATCTCTGCTTTCCACAAAGGACTGAGCACCTGCTGTGTGCTAGACCCAATGCTGGCAATGAAAAATAGGTAGTTGTAGGCTGCAACAGAGCCCTGTTCAAGGCTGTGGGGAGCACAGCACCCACAGGAGTGAGTGTACAGCCCAACATTCCTTTGTGTGAAACACTTGCATTTGTAGGCCAGAGTCTCGGGGTGGCATTGGGATCTTCATGCTGGTCCCTTTTCAGGCTCAGGTCTCAGCCCTACCTATAGGGTGTTCTACCTGGAGCTATAGCTGCCCCCTAAGTGCAGCAGGTGCTAGTCTCTGAGCGGGTGTTCACACCCTTCTGTGGGTGCCCTGTTCTTTCTAAGCTGCTCCAGACCTCAGGGATCAGTTAAGACCATCTCCAAGCTTGGGTTGCCCTGGAAGCAGCCTTGGCTGCAGGCAGCTTGTCTGGGTGCTGGTCTCTTCTCCACTGAGGCCAACTTGGATCTCTGCAAACCTCCACCCACCCATCATCATCCTCAGGCAGCCAGTTCTTAACATGCGATGCCTAAAGCAGAACCTAGATGTGATTTATCCAGCGTGGAGAGTGCTGATCTCCCCAGCTGCTTCTCAGCGCAGTCCAGCATCGTGTGTGTGCTCGTTTGTTTTTAGTTGATCCTGCTGGTAGCCCGGGTTAAGTTTATGGCAAGCTCTCATTCTCACGTCTTCTTTTTATTTTACGCGAACATATCTATTCCTGGCATATCACCTACATATTGAATCGTATTCCATGGTGAATTCTGCTATAAAGTGAAACATCATTTTCAAAGCAAAAAATTTTGTACTATGTTATGTACTTTTTATAGCATCTAGTATATTCTACTATAGTTATTTATGCATGTGTATCATCCAATGTGCGGGCTGCAGAAAGGATGTCTGTGACTCAGGCAATTTGTAGGTCTTTTGAAATGTTTTTATATAGGTACTAAAAAAATCAACTACATAAAAACTGCTGTTAGGCATGATGAAAATCAAGTCTGCAAGGTGTAGGCAGTGCCAGTGACCTTGGAGACGGATTGTTTTGCCCCGTTCTTTGGCTTTCTAGGAGTCACTCTGTCCTTCAAGGGATGGACATGTGTGATGGTCCCTTTGGCCTTAGAGGGAGATGTGCGGTTCTGTCTGATTCATGATCTCATCTAAACATTGTTCTTTGCTGTTAACATACTTAATGCTGAAATAAATCATATGATTAAGGACTTTTGCCAATCAATTAACAAACTTCTGGCTGGGCACAGTGGCTCATACCTATAATCTTAGCACTCTGGGCGGTCAAGGCGGGTGGATTGCTTGAGCTTACAAGTTTGAAACCAGTCTGAGCAACAGCAAGACCCTGTCTCTGCTAACAATTGAAAAACTAGCTGGGAGTGTGGCAGGCGCCTCTTGTCCCAGCTAATCTGGAGGTTGAGGCAGAAGGATCAATTGAGTCCAAGAGTTTGAGGTTGCTGTGAGCTATGATGCCATGGCACTCTCCCCAGGGTAACAGAGTGTCTGTCTCCAAAAAAAAAAACAAAAAAAACAAAACAACAACAACAACAACAACAAAGCAAACCTTTTGCAAGACTGTTTCCACTAGGTTGAAAAATACTCTAAGCATCTGGATTATGGGACAGGCACCAAATAACCAGTTAATATAATAGAATGTAGGAAACAAGATTGCCCATTTTGCTCAGTCTGCCTCCTTAGCATGGTGTTTTTCTTGTGGCTTGAGAGAGCGTGGCTGCCTGAGAACTTATCCTTCTCCATTTCATCTTTTCTCTGCAGGCATTCCCTGGTACACTTATGTGCAGGACTGCATTTAGGCGGAGTCAATCACAGGAACCAGACTGACTGATTTGCTCAGGCTGTCTCCCTCTGGCTTCTCCCTTTCTCCCCTATAACCCCGCATTCCAGCGCTTTCCAAACCCCTGTCTCGCGCCTGCCTTTCTGCCCGTCCCTCCTCCTGTCACCTGCCCCCACACTGTCTGATGAAGGGGTCACGTGGAACTGCACATCTGCCATGCGTTCTGAAGACATGATTCTCCAGTGGGTTATCTCAGGGTTTGTGGCTTTTTGTGGCTGTGATTCTAAGAGAAAACTCTTTTCCTTTCCTTCCCTAGATTTCCTTCTCACTTAGGAATCTTGAATACTCTGCATTTGTGAGATGGCTACTTTGTTCTTTACTTTGATAGTGAAGCTTGTCTTACCCGTGGGGCTAAAGCCAGGTGTGGCTACATGGAATTAACCTTTGTTCTGCCTGTGGATGACACAGTCAGTAATGCGTCTGGTATCCAGTGAAAGGGGGAAAGGGCCAAGACAGTGCCCGGGAGATGCAGTGGCCTGTGTGGTGGTGTGGACCCAGTGATGGGGGGGTGGGGAGGAGGGCCGAGACAGCACACTGGAGATGCAGTGGCCTGTG